AAACTCGGGCCTGTAATCTAACACGCGAGAACTGACCAATGAAATCTGAGAAGTACAAATACCGGTAGATGCTGTTGCTTGATTGACAATGTCGATCAAGAAAGGGAGGAGCTTGATGGTATCGTTCTCTCCAAGTAAATTCCGATGTCAAATAACGACGTTATTTGGACGGAAAAACGATGGTTTGAAAACTTCCAAATAACATCGTTTTTCCGTCCAATGACCATATTCGGAAAAAACGACGTTTTCGTGTTTGCAGAGGCGACAAACGGGATCGGGTGGTCAGGCTCGCTGACTTGGTTGATGTATGTCATCGTATCCCAATTGCTTGATTTGGTGCTCATGATGTCAATCATTGGATTGTCAGTCCGGACTCGATTACTTACAGACCGCCGTCATATAGCTGGAATATTGCTGAGTGCGGCATTAAACAACAATTCAAACAAACTAACAAAATACCCGCGAAAATCCACAGGACCAAATGCCAGATTTTACATCCAAGAAACAAATGCAAATACAGGTACTGTAGGAAATGCATGCAAAGACCGGATTTGCGTATGTTTCCCGATATGAACTAACTTTGGGCGTTTATTTTATATGGAGATACACCTTTGAATCATATGATCATCGTGTCTTGCAGCGTATGCACAAGCACCATTGTCGTGACTGGATTTGCAGACATTCCAAGGCTTGAATTCAAAAGTTGATATCTCAGTAAATACTTGATCACAGTGTATTTCCAATGCATTTCTTTCGACTGAAATAGGTGCTGAAATTCCTTTCTAAGTTTTTAAGGGTTTGAAAATGAGGCATTGTCGGGAAACGTTTGTAAATTTGTTTTGTATCGTTCCGGGTGTCATTGTTATGTGTTTGAACAGAGACCATACAATAGATTATTATAGGGTCTCTGGTTTGAATAATTATATATGCTCATATCACCGGTACTAAAACAAGATGATCACAGTTGTTTCCACTATGTGAAATTTTGTCACTGTGAGGACAAGTGGCGCCACTGTTAAAAGTTCGAGAGGACGGAAACGGAAAAGCGAACGATCTGACGACATCACAGAAACAGGAGTTGTACAGAATGAGAAGTTAACACCCAGACATCAGAGTTTTCTTCAAGGGGAATAAAACTAATAAAGGCGCCTGAACAGAATAATAATGAAGATGGTGAGAACAGCACCCCACGGGACAGACATGGAGCTGGCAATTACACCAGGGGCAAGTCCCAACAGCAGGGACGGTAAAAACGATGCCAAATATGATCCACTTCACGTCGCTATGGCAGTGGACATTTCAGTTAGGGGTGGGACAAAAACAATCTTCATTTTACGACGCATCAAAGAGACACTAACGTTGATAAAGTGAATGGAAACATGAATATCTCTAATAATACTCTGAACTTTGTGTTTTGGAATACATGTATATCTGATCTGGCATAAGATGACAGATAGCGATTATATTACATACAAACTTTTTATATTGTTGGGATAACTGAAACATGGGTTGATGATACTCCTTGTATTTCCAGATCATAAATCTATCACCAAACAAGCAGAAACAAGCAGCGACTGTCAGAGGGGGATAATACTATCTTAAGTTAAATGGTCCAAAACTACTGAAAACTCTATTTTTGTTTAATTCGAAAAAAACTCGTTTGGTCAGATTATGATCTACTATATGTCTATGCCTGTATACACCCATAAACATCTACCCTGTACAACAAACAATTTTTATGCTGTAAAGATGGGAGTTAATATATTTTAGAAATACTCGTAGATTTACCGTATAGATGTTTATATCTTATGTGGCGGAGACAGTGCCCGGACAGGAGCTGATGCCGATTTTGTTTAAGATGACATAACATAACAGATCACGAAGGAAACCAAATGTCTTCACTGTCAGATTTTATCCTTGATCATTTTAATCTTAAGCACTTCTCTGCCGATAACATCGTATCCTGCGCCACCGGTGGCAACCGTCATAACACATGCAAAGGAAAGTCAAATCGTCCAGTTGAAAAAGCATGGGAACATATGGTACATATGGGAAATGAATTGATGCGTCAGATTTGGAAGTGTCCTCCACATGTTTGTCATAAAACTTTTTGAAAGCTCTACTGAGGCCTTATTTTCAGTAACCTTGATCAAACAACCTCTGAGCAAGGGTAGGATGAAATAGAATGAAGACTTGTCGTAGTATGAGGAAATGCGTTTACATTTACACTAATTCTAAACATAACCCAACCTTTAAAAAGCTTGCATATTATTGTATCGTTCACAGGGACTTATTCAATTCTAGCTAAGTGTGTTTGACTATGAATTTCCTATGCAAACTACTTAAAACAAAGTATTTGTCCACCTAAAAGTAAAATTAATCATCCCGAATTTACTTCGGAATATACTATTAAACATTCTCGGGGTCGCGGATGATGGGGCTAGGATTATTTGTATGTGTATTAAAACATACTTATATGAATAATTTATTATATAATAATAAAATATACTGAACCGCAAAAGAAACGTCACCATGAATAGATATATGAGAAACCTTATTTGCCCAAACACTGTAAACATACTTTGGGACATATTAAAAAGATGAAACTTGGGAAAACTGATCATCAAGGTTGAAATTAAAGTGTCAAATGTTCTTAAAGTGAAACACAACACTTGTCTCTGAGAAAATGGCATTACAAGTCAGTATCTCGTGTGTCCGCCATGTGCATTGATGACTGCCGTGCAACGTCGATACATGGAATGGGTGAGGCGGTTGATGAAGGAACGCCTGACGCGGTTCAGCTGCAGTTGTTGGCCTTGTTCGGACGTCATTCAGCCGTCTCTGAATCTCGTCCCACAGGTGCTCAGTGGGATTTAAATCGGGACTGACGGCAGGCCACTGCATGGTTCTGATGCCATTCTGCTGAAGAAAGTCTCTTGTTGCTCTCGCAGTGTGGACACGGGCGTTATCATGCTGAAACTCGTGGTTGCGGCGACGTGCCAAATGAAGTATGCCGTTTGGTCTCAAGACTTGATCAATGTACCGAGCTGCTGTGACACCATTGCCTATCCCTGGACCGATGTTCTGGAAGACCACAGGCCGACCCTCAGTGCAAGACCAATTCCACCCCATACCATGATGCTCGGACCACCCCACGAGTCTCTCTCAACAACACAAGCATCCGAATAAAGTTCCCCACGGCGTCTCCAGACTCTCTCTCTCTCTGCCATCTGCTGTTGAGATACAGTAACGGCTCTCGTCTGAGAAGAGGACTCTTCTCCACTTTTGGTGGCGCCAATGTTGATGCTGTGTTGCCCACTGAAGACGGTCCCGGCGATGACATGGTGTCAGAATGCATCCTCGTTGTGGCCTGTTACAGTTGAGGTGTCTGCTCGCCAATCATCGACGCACGGTGTCCGCACTAATGTGTTGCTGGTGTGTCCACATTGCCTGTCAAGCAGTTTCCGCAGCAGTAACAAAGCGATCTTGAAGTTTCTGTCGCACAATCTGACGATCCTGACGTCGGGTGGTGATCAATGGTCTTCCACTGCGTGGTTGGTCATCTGTAGTGTTGGTGGTCTGGGACCGTTGCTGGAGCTTGTATATGGTCCTTACGTGGACAAATGCATTGGCTACTTGCCGGGCTGTTTGTCCAACTTGCAATCGTCCAAGGGCCTGGTGTCGCCGATTTCTTGTCAATCTTGGCATGTGGTATCAATTCAATAACGAATGAATGTTATCCGATCTGGGTGGATTTTTATAGGGGAAGAAATGGGGGAATGCATGTGCATTTCAATTTGCACGGAACTCACGTGCATCGGTTTACCATGAAAGGTTGCCGTGATGCATTTGGGCGTTCGGTTGTATTGTCATCTGCTTTGTTTTTTTCATCAAATTTCATTTTTCCGGACAAGGTGATGTTAAATTTTAGAAACTTTGACAAAAATTACTCAGATATTTAAATGACAACTTTTCATGCAATGTTACTTGGGTTTCGTTTCTTTTGCGGTTCAGTATATAAACATGTTTGTTCATAACGCAACTGTTCTGTATAGACATTTGATTATATAAATAGGGTTTAAAAATCCCCCCCCCCCCCCCCCCCCAACCCACCCCCACCCCCCATGCACATGAACATGTGTGGTTTTGCAATTTTACGTTTCATGTCATAATGACAAACTTAATATTATATTCAATTTTAGACATTAAGTCATAACGTAGCAATTTAATGCAGTGCTTCAATGAATTCGGGTTAACAAATACTCAGCAGCGTACACTGGAAACTTCAATGGTATAGTGGATTCCCTCGACATATATTACTAATATATACCTCATTACGTCACTGACGTGGTTGCTGAGTGCATGAATTTGGGAAAAGCTGTCCCTTCTTGTGGTGATGGTTACAATTAGTCTTCAGCAACCCAAGCTTGTATGAGGCGACTTACGGGATCGGGTGCTCAGGTTCGCAGACTGTCTTCGGTTTCCAATTGTGCAGAAAGACGCTCACAGTGCTCAGACTCGATTATTTACAGACTGACGTTATATTGCTCGAATATTGGTGAGTGCGGCGTTAAACATCAAACTTACAAAAACCATTACATGAGCTGCCTTCTTGAACAAAATGGTATGCACACCATGTAAAACATCTACTAAACAAACAGACCTGACACTAGGACCTGACATATGTGAATTAATTGATGTGTTAGGGTATTATTTAAATTCGTTTCCTGTTGAGGATATTAAATACGCCCGGCTACTTTTACTCCATCGAGGCTCAACGGTATAATTTGGATTATGAAAATTAAAACTAAAAATATACCGATCAAAATCATGACGACTCAACAAGGCAGCGTAAAAATTCAATCGTGACTTAAATGACTCAAAAGTAGGCATGGAATTAAACAAAAATGTTAACTACAAAAGTCAACTATAGCCCGTTGCTTTATTATTGAATGATGTTAGACTCTATATTAATAATACTTTTACAGAAAATAACTCACCTGATTCAATGAGGTTTGTATCTGTTTGGATGTCCTTCACGATTGGGATATTGCTGTATCAGTGTCACACTGTTGAAAGAGCGGAATTATCCGTCAGAACACCGTCATTGCACGCCTATACTATCCCCCAACTGGTATTAAAACACGTATCTACACGTTTACCAAATATCCGGGAACGCTGTATACGTGAGTCATATTGACTGATTTGTAAACTGCTGGGATGCTCATCTAATTTCCATACAAAATGCTCTCTGCGACGACCTACATGAATAACGAGGTGTACAAACAAATTGGAATTAAATGTATGTTTTGTGGATATGAATACAAATAGGTTATGATACCTTTAAAATATCGCCTGGTTTAATAACGGGCAAATAACCAATTCCCTTCCACTGATATACCCACATGAACTAGAAGTAAAAGAGGCCGGTGAAACCGCCTCGTCTGTTTTATATTTAAATCTGAGCATAAAAATTCGGTGTGCCAAAACAGTCTTCACAAGAATGTATGACAACGTGGACGATTTCAACTTAAAGTTTCCAAATGTCAACTTTTCTTTTATGTAGAGCATATTCCAGCAGCTCCAGCCTTTGGTGTCTACATTTCACAGCGTTTGGGGTACTGCAATGATGTCATACGATTCTTGCCCAGATGATGTTTGATCAAGGTTACAACATTCAAGGCCTCAGTAAAACCTTCTGAACGTTTTATGGCAGACGTGTGGAGGGCACTTTCAAATTTGGACGATTGAAGAGGTGAATAGTTGACTTGCCTTTGTATGTGTACATCGGTTGGGCGGGATAGGCTGATTGTTTCGCGAACACCTTGTATCATCACTATTTAATTTGACTATTAAACACAATAGTCATACTTATGAGACTGCTTTCAGCATATATTTCTTATGGCTATGTAAAGTGTTTAATTACAAAAGAAATAGACATATGCTACATGTATTTTTCTAAATGTCTCAACTGCAGCTTGTGCGTACTTCTGGTGTTTTCATATAAACATGAAAAATAGGCAGAGTATTTCATATTCTAACTGGATATATTACTTTAAGAAAATTAATCATATTTATATTAATGAATGTATTTGAACGTTTGCTTGGCAGAAAATTGAAGCCATGTGCATGTTTCATCACAAAAGGTTTACGAGTTGCTATGCGTTTTGTATAATTTGATCACCTGTTCCACAATGTCGTTTACCATTGAATCCAATGATATATATCTGATTACTTTACTTTCATAGAAAATGCAAAATAAATCAATCATACTTAGTATGTGGTGGGCGAGCCTCTTATGATTTGTCCTGATAATTTCATATTGAAAAGGGAGTTCTTCGCATCTATTACTAGATGTCATTGAGGAAAATCGATGTCTTGAATGTTTTATACTGAGCGAGTGCTATACAAACATTGTGTGTAATAACTGCATCAGTGTAGTGACAAGAGTACGGGAAAAGGTCAATTAGCTGAGGTCGTCCTTTTATAAAAACGTGTGTTGGTGTGTTTTACAAAACTCACGGAACTACACTTTCTAAAATATTAGGGTCCGTGACTTATCGCCTAGTCCGACCAGAGAATTACAAAGAAATACCATATATTTCATGACAGTTTAGCAACATCTCCAGCTGGAGTTGCAAATATTTGACACTAAAAGCCTGTACCTGGTCAGTCAAAAGAAACAATACTTGTGTTTTACAATTAAGCCTTAACCATAGTCACTATAGAGAATAGGCTGCCATATGTGTTTGAATAAGTCAGATCACGATTAAGTCAGTGAAATAATAATATTTACACAATAAAATGCATTAGGAGTTTTGCTCCAAGCGATGAATTAAGGCAGATATAGCTAGACTTGCATATTGAAGATTATAGACTGCGTGCAAGGCCGCATACATATTTCACACACATGGAGCAGGACAACTGCAAGGTCCCAGCATCTCTAGCTTCTTGCCTCACTCATCGTTTGCTCATTAAGAGTTAACAGATGCAAATGTTAGAAAGGGTTCCTGACCACTGGCCAAGATTTTGGTCCAGCCAGCCATGGCAGTTGATATGTGTCCTCTGTAACCCGACCGCTGAAGTGAGCTAGTTTTCGTGCACATGAAAACAGACCCAGAACCTGAGGAAAACCTGTACTTGCTTCATTTAGACTTAAGTATTACAGAAAGGGCTGGGCGGAAGGGAAAGAAATGTGGTTCAGGGACTGTGAGACAGACTAGATGACATTCTACGGTCACACTGACTGGTAGGCAGATTCCCGCTAGACAAGTCAATATGTTTTGTTTTTTTGTTCATCTAAACAAACCACGGAAACACAAACACGGTGATGACAGTCCTCACTATTGCCAAGCGTAAAATACATATGGTGCATAAAAAACATCGACGTGGACCAGTAATATGTTCCAATTAATATATGTCAAACATTTGGTAAACTGTACTGATTGAGAGCATTATTACTAATCAGAACGTTTAGACTCTTACATCGGAATATATATGAACTCATTACTCATCCCAGAATTGATAATCCTTCCAATGAAGAGCGATGAAATCAGAATCTGTAACAGTTTGATAACATTAAATCTTTTAATGGGCATGTTGGGTTTCTTTATACAATCTCTGTTATATTTGCACCGATTACAGACCACAAGATTTGAAAATTGAAAAACGAAATGTTCAAGTAATACTTTATTAACAAACGCATTAAATGCATGTGCTATGATTATGTATGTTCAGTTTTGTTACAGTAAGGAAGCGGTTCATGTATAACCACTTATCATTATTATGGTTCACAATGAGAATGATCGTTAGAGACAACTTATTTGTTTCAAAATGCACGTATCTGTTATACAACACCCCCCCCCCCCCCCCCCCACACACACACACACACCCCACACACATCCCCCCACCCCCCACCCCCACACACACCCACTATTAGCGTTAGATGAGCATAATTGGTGTTCATAATTGTGGAATGATAGAGGTTTACAAAATGGAAATAAACTTCGTACTTATAGATTGTTCAAACACACGCTGTCTGCTGAACCCTATGTTACATCTATTATGAACAGGTCTCATCGTAGTATCCTAAGCAAGTTACAAGTTGAAATTGGTAGATTTGCTAAACCTATCACGCCTTTACATGACAGAATTTGTAAATTATGTAATAATAAAGCTGGAGAAGATGAGATGCATTTTCTCAGTAACTGTCCATTTTATTCTGACTTAAGATATGATTTATGGACGAGAATTATAAAGTCTGATCCTATATTTATTTCATTCTCTCCTGTGGACCAGACAGTGTTCTTAATGAACTGTAACACGTATATAAAACCTCTTGCCGCACTTATTTAAAAAAATTTTGCACGTAGGCAACATTTCCTTACTTAAAACTGTAATTTTTATCGGGTTTTGCAATTTTATAACTTATAATTCTTTTATATAAATAATGTTTTTCATTGTCCATTGTGTCTCACCGGTCTTTTATGGCCTGATGTTGAATGTATTTACGCAAGTTTTTTTTATGTCTAGTGTGTACACATACAGCATGTGACACATAAATAAAATATATATGACCATGACTATGGGTAACACTACCGGATGTCCATTATGTAATTTCTAGTGTGAATGACATATTGTTCTCAGTAAACCGTAATGTGGAAATAGATAGTTGATTGGTTTTATATTCAAGTTGTATTTCAAAGTGTAAATAGTTTATAGCAAAGTTTAATTAATTAAGTCTACTCTCATTTTTTGCATATATAATTAACTCTAACGTCTATTCAAAAGAAGTTAAAGAACACCCGATTCTTTCATATGAATATGGTTAGTCATGAGAGAAAGTTGGGCAGAGAAAGCGAGAAAGCGATGCCCCCTCTCGGCCAGCATAGGTCTACCATATGTTACCTAACTATTAGAATGGAGTGATCCAAGAAAAGTAGGAAAGTAATGTCTCTGAATAGTCTTTGAGTACTCCAACCCTGCATAGAAGCCTGCAGCAAAGTCGGCGAAGAATACAGGCACATTTTGATAAATGAAACATCTGCGTGTGCATTAATGGAACCCCAAATGTTTTCTTCGTTTGCAGAAACCGTTCCAGATAGCAATACTCTCTGCCAATGCTTCAAATATGTACATACATTTAATATATAGTATATTGACGTGTACCCAGCTGGCAAACAAGAGTTCTAAGAGCTTACTGTTTCGTCATAACTTCATATATTCATCTGAGGTAACAACTTCTTCTGCAAACAACTGCGTCGTGACTGATTTTTAGTGACCCATTAGTAACAGTATATTTACCGCTATTGTTAACGTTTACGCCAAATGGAATATATTTCGTTGGAAAATCGAATTTGGTTATTCTCTAGCTTAGATGTTTCACCATTCTATGCTTGTTTACGACATGACCATGGATGATAACAACATCTGGTGTGTTACATAACGCCCAATAATATTTGTATGCCTGAGGCAAGCTAATGTGTTTTAAATAATATTTTATTGAGGAAACAATAGTCAGAATTAGTTACCCGAACAGACAAAATGTTTATATTTTCCTTTAAAATAATACGTGTTTTAACACACAAAAATGTTAAACAAACACAAGTTTGTGTTTACCGTCATACTTGTCCATGTAGCCGTCGTATACATGTAAATGAAAAATGTTGTGTTCAGTCATGTGTGGAATTGAATACAATATTGAAATAAGGAACGTGTTCATAAGGCGAGATATTTCAAAACACTACACAAAATAAGGTGTTGACGATCTTCTTTGGTTTACTACAAAATACAGTTTTTACACGTGCACATACCTTAGCTACATCATACATTATATATATATATATATATATATATATATATATATATATATATATATATATATATATATATATATATATGTTACAGGAAACAAGTATAATAAGTGATTAAGTTTAATAACTGGAAATTTCAGTGATTATGTCTAATAACTGATTCACTCGGTGGTTATGTCTAATTACTGAAATCTTCAGTAATTAGACATAATCACTGAAATGAACCAAGGGATTTTATACTTGTTTACTGAAATCAT